TCAAGACAAGAATAAATGATAGGATCATCAGCAAAACAATGCCACCTTAGATGTGAAAATTTCTCCATAACCTCTCCACATCTATCTAATGCAAGATAAAACCTATCAGTTTTTACCGTTAACAAATCAGCAGTAGAACGAGGAGATTGAAATCCATATTGATGATTAGAAAGTAAGTTATTAGATTCAAGATGAGAGATTAATTATTTGTTAATTAAAGACTTAAAGACTTTGATTATGATAAAAATAAGACTAAAGGGGGTTTTCTCTCCTTCTGGAGTTATCTTCAGAACTGGTAAACTAAACAGACCCTTCTGGTTCTCTCCTTCTGGAGATTGCTCTCCAGAATTTTTACAATTAGGGACAACTAATGCTGGCTGCAGGCTGGAAAACAATACTCTGATAATCACTTATTAAGTAGTTTTGAAAGTATAAACGGAAGCTCCAGAGAGTACATCTGCAAAACTATAACAGGAACAGATCAACCTGTTTGTCGGCTATATCATGTAGGATATGATTAGTGGAATCAAGACATGAGATTATTGAAAAGTTCTTAGCAAAAAGTTCATCTTTGTCTTTAGCTAAGGTAACCTTTGTCTTTAGGTGAGGTAACAAAATTTGAACCATGCAAGAGAGGTGGAGTAGCAGACTTCTGCAGAGAATTCTGCAGAAGTCTCTGGAGTCTTCTTTTCTAGAGATTTTGTGACCTGAGAATGGCAGGCTTGGGCGTTAAACAAAATCTTTTTTTAGTGGTTTCTAGCAATAGTAAACAGATGTCTGTTTTCTGGAGAATTGTTTTGCTGATAGATATGAAGCTAATGGTTATTGTTATTAATGGTTGCTAATTTAAGTCAGCTTTAAATGCATAATAAATAGAAAACAAAGGTACATAAGTTTTATTAAAAATTTATTTAATCCTAAATTTCTTTTAACAAATTTATAACTATTTATAAGTTACACAGTTCGACCGCAACATTTATATAAATAACAAAGTCAACTAACAGGTTTGAGCAAAATTAATGAATAAGTCTACACTAAAAATGGTAATCCCAAAACAAACATGAAATTGTTTAGCAAAAAAAAATGCTCTGCACCAATTGAAATTCAACAATCTACCTTGTGATCAAACAAATTCTTTATTGGAGAAACATACTTATGGCCCTAGGTACAAGATTTTTTATGAGAGTGACAAGTCTCATAAAAAATATCATCTATTAACAAACCTGAATTGGAAGGAAACTTATTGAACTTTGCATTTAATAGTTAAGTAACAAACAATTTAATATACATATAAAATATACCTATGTATATTTAACTAAAAGTATTTTTGTTTATAATATTTTGAGTTCATTGCATTTAAATTTCATATTGTTGTTTGGTCACTCTGTCACAAAAGTACTTAAAAATACAGCTTGTAACTTAGCATTATTTTAAAGTTCAATCAAAAGCCCCAAGGCAGGGGATTTCTAAGTCAGAATTTGTTTCTCCTAGCCTTTGCCTAAAAAAAACAAATCCTACAGCAGGGCATGGGACAGATAGTACTGGATTATATGATACTAGTAGCAGAGTGATGATCCTGAACCTTACCATATTTTACAAATATTTTGTAAATCATGATCTAGCAATAGGTGGAGAGAATAGCCCAAAATTAAATGAAGAGAATATATTTCCCAAAATAAAGGGGTTGCATGCGGTGAGTAGTATAGAGAACATAAAATTACATAAACTACAATGTTTTATGTAAAGAGATTATTGTAAAGATGCTAAATGACAAAGCTGTCATTTAGCAGTAAAGTTTAATGCAGTAGTGGTGAGGTGGTAGAGTGCTAACCTCATAAGCAAGAAGTTCTGAGTTCAGTATCCACCACATCACTGGTAGAATCGCGCTCAACTTGTTTCTGCGCGCAGCAGTCTTCAAGATTCGTGCTTTGAAGTTATAGAGTTGAGAGAGGGTTGTAACCACTACTAAAACAGCCTTCTCGACTGAAGTGGCCTTCATGGCCTTAGGGAGGTGAATTGAAATAAAACAGTTTTAAAAAAAAACTAGAAATAGTGTCTCAATAAAAATACTTGTCTTAGGAAGATGTTAACTGCATCCAGCTACTGTCTTGTAGAAGGCTTCCTAGGCAAAGATTTAAGGGGTAAACTGATTTTATCTGTTGACTAGCTTTGCACCCCTTCTTCATTTACTAGGCTGGCGTAGATGTTTTTATAATACATTGTTTCCAGTTTAGGATGTTGAATGCTAGATCTTCTTGACTCATTGCATGTGTTTTGCTTGTCTCTGTTTTTATGACTAGGCAACTCATTTTGCTATCTCCTAATGAGGGTACAGCTCTAAAACTCAGTTTTATGGTTCTGAGGCCGACTAGTAGTCAGGTTTCCTTAACTCTGTGGTAGCTCTCAGAGAGGCTGAATCCAACAACACCTATAAAATATCAGACTACTAACAGTGCCATGTTGTGCAATGATGGTGTCCCTGTTCGTACTTCTGGTGCGCATTGTCGAGGCCACATATAGAGCCCTTTATTGCGGCTTAGGGTTTGTTAATAGTAATGAGGCAATTGCTTGGACTATTAGATAGTGTACTGAGTATTACCTGTGCTTCTAGTCAAGTCTTTTAACCAATTTAAAAAATGATTAATTTATCAAAAACTAAAAAACACAAAAAATCTTTGTCATCACCAAGTTCTCTGAATCTATCATTCACTAATATTTGCATTCTTCAAAGTAAGTTTTCTTCTGTTAAGTCTTATCTTTTGCAAAGTTCACCAGACCTACTTGCTCTTTGTGAGACTAATTCGACTTCAGCTGTTTGATCTTGTGATCTTAATGTTGATTGTTATCTTTATTTAATTCAAAAAAACTCCAATAGTAACATGCTTGGGCTGGGCATTTACATTAGTAAAAATTCAACCATTTGTCCGAAACTAGGTTTGAATCTACAGACTATTCTTTTATGTACTTTTGTTTAGCACTACTTTTCTTTATCACCATTCTCTTTGTTTTATATTGCTCTCCTTCACCTCAAGACTGTACTCTTTTTGATGTTGTTTCTGATTAAATTGACCTAGCCCTTTCTCTTCCTATCTATCAGCCAATTTCGTTGTTGTTGGTGACTTTATCACACTGATTGGCTTGGTTCTAGTATCAGTGACTCTGCAGGCCTTAAGGCCCATAACTTTTCTTAATCTTTTACTCAAATAGTCAACTTTATATCTCGCTTTCCAGACAACACCAAATCATTTACCTTCTCTACTTGACTTTCTTGTCAATGATCCTAGTCAGTCCTCAGTTTCTCCACATTCACCCTTAGGTGCTTCTGATCACAGTTGGATCTCTCTAAAACTATTATCTCATGCTCTAAAGAGCTAGCGTCTTTTGTACTATCTAATAAAATTCATTATTTTGTTACTCGTCATTCAATTAAGTCTCATCTTTTTACTGTGACTGATTCTAAGTGCTCCAAAAATTCTAAATTCCAAAAATTTGTCTAGTTTTTTCCTCGAACATAAGTTCTTTGGAATTCGTTCCCTTCTTGTTTTTCTGATTCATATAATTTTCAATCTTTTAAGTTGTCTGTTAATCCTTATCTTGCTTTATAAACTTCATCTTTTTTTGTCCAGTAACTTTCCAACTTTAATAGTGGTTGCAGCCTTGATGGAAGTAAAGATGTTAAAAATTTTTGGCTTGGGGGTATACTTATGTTGAGAAATCAGGTTTGAATCCTTTGATTGATCTTTTATGTGCTTCTAAACGCCTATTTATTATTGCAAGAAATCAATGTAAAAAGGTGTTGCCTGATACTAAACTCCATTTATTTCAGAAGTTAGGCTCTAGAGACTTTGAGAAAATCTTTAACAGTGCCATTGACATAGATAGGTCTTACATTCTTTCTCTCATACATGGGTTCTTATTACCTCTCCCAAAGATAAGATTGAACTGTTTGCAAAGAACTTTTCTTTACTCTTAAATCTTATGCTCATACTCTTCCTTCCATTCCAATTAAACAGGTTAACCAATTGTTAGACATTCAAATCAATACCAGTTTCTGTTAATAAAGTCATATCTCAGTATGACTTTAATATATTGAGGTATGACTTTATTGGGGCTTGCATTGGCTTGTGACTTTTAACACCAACAAAAGTTATTTACTGCAAACAACTATCATAATACTGTCAACATTCCTATTTAGACGAATAGCAACCCTCTCACAGAGCCTCTTTACCTCTTTTTGGATAATCATTAACTTCTGATCTCTCATGTAAACCTAATATACAATCGATTTGCTAAGTTAGCATCTGCTAAGGTTGCTTCTCTTTATCTTGCTCGCCATTTTCTAACTCCTCATTCCATTCTCTACCTCTACAAATTTCTTATTCGTCCCTGTATAAAATACTGTTATCATATTTGAGATGGTTCTTCTAATGGTTCTCTTTCTCTTTCAAACAATATTCAAAAATGCATTGTAAACTTTGTTGGACCTGTTCTATCTGTCAAGGTTGAACCTCTCTCCCATTGTCGTAAGGTTGCGTGTCTTTCTCTTTTCTAGTTCCATCAACCAAAGCTCATTCTCGTTTGACTTGTCGTTCAGCAAAGTCACATCTTTTTACTGTCTTTGTCCCTGTATGCTCTAAAAACTTTTAGTTGTTTAGTTTTTTTCACGCACTTTAATCCTTTGGAACTCTTTCCCATTATCATGTTTTGCTGACTCATACAACCTACATCTTTTCAAGTATTCTGTCAACGGTTTTCTTATTTTTTAACTCTCTATTTTTTATTTTTTAGTAACTTCCAACTTGTTAGTGGTTGCTTGCAGCCTTGTTGGAAGTAAATTAATGTTAAATTTTTTTTTTTTCTTGAAAAATAGTTTAAACGCTGTCTTTTTTTATCGCGCTCAATTTTTTAAATAATTTTTTTTTAATTCTAATTTACTCCCAAAAAAGCTGCAAGCAACCAAATTGAATATCATATAGATTACATGTTGTTGCTTTTTTTAGATTACATGGAGAAATCTGTAAAAGTATAAAAAAAAGAAAAAAGAAAAATAAAGAAAAACATCTATTGCATCGCCCAAAACTTGTTCTCCGACAAATAGGAGATGAATCTGAAAACTCGGATGAGTTCTTAAACAATAACCTGAACAACAATGAAATATTTATTTTTTCAAAAAAAGTAACAGACAGTATGAAAAGAGAAAATAATAACAATTGGAATTGCAGCACTCAGTTTCTGAATAAAAGGTTACCACTAAGGGAAACGCCCGAAGATTCAAATCCTGAAGAATTGGCATCTTACTTTGAACAACTTTTGTATATACCTAAACCAATGTCTTATATGGCTGAAATGATGTATGCTTAACAATAGCAAATGTTGATTTCTTTTTGAAATACGTTTTTGATGAGTCTTCGATAAATAATTAAAATGTTATTATTGATTCATATTTATTGCTTATCGTGTTATAAAATATTTGTATTATAATGTTTATTAAAAAATTTATTTGATTTATAAATATGTTGAAAATATTGTTTGATTTTATAAATTAGGCTTGTCAAGATCACTTTACCCTGTAAAAATTGGCACTATTTTTACATGGTAAAATGCTCTTTAAATAGCTAAAATAAAAAAACAATTTTAACATTTTGAGATACTCTATAATGAAAATAAAAGTTTTAAAGTCAACAACATTTTCTAATTTATTTAATAATCGTATAAGTATCAATATAGATAATTGGTTTGCTTAACACACTTAATTTATTTGCGTGGCATACATTATTACGAAGTTTCGCATTCTTAGGCAAATATAAAATAGCTCGTTAAAACCTAGCTTAAAACCTGGAAAAAGTGCTACCCTTTTGAAATTATAGTTCAATTCTTGAATTAGTCCCAGCTTTATATATATTTAGATTTAAATAAACTTTTATTTTATTTCTTTTCTATTGATATTTTTACAATTAATTTTCAAAACCAATTAGGGAGTCATCCACAAAGTATGTACGCCAAAAATAAAAATTTGACCCGTCTCCCCCTGTTGCCAGACATTTAATGCTCTTCATCCACCCCTAAAAAGTATGGACACTTCTGAAACCTCTACCTCCTTCCCCTTAAATCAAATTAAAAAAAGTTACAATTTAGAATAAAATATACAAATTAAGAAATTTATTTTAAACTACAAACAACTTCCCACTCCTATGACTTTATTGAACGCATTTTGCAGATTCCCCCTCCCTCTAAGTACTGATGCAGTTTTTCTTAGAGAAACCCTCTCCCCCTCTTCCAGTAGCTCATCAAAAAATAAGCATTTAAGGAATTATTTTTTTTAAGTTATTCAAGTGCTCAAAGAAGACTTATAGGTCTTATCACAGAGCACCTCGGAGGGCATTTTAATAGAAAGTTCACGCCTCCTTCCTAACCAATAACGTTTATTGGGTTTGAGCCGGCATCAAAGCACGAACCTCTTGGTTCTGAGCGAGAACTACTGAAGAACGAGAAGTAAAATTAGTTATCGATTCTAATAACTTTTTTACTAAAGATATAAAGCAGAAACAATGTTTTACATGTAGCAGACAAATATCGAAAGATGAATCCTGACGTTTCTAAAAGCACTTTGAACAATTTTTTAGAATATGTTATTTATTACTGTATTCTTTTTAAAGATGGCAAGCGGTATAATATCATTCTCTTTTTTAATTAAAATATATTGATATTATGTTATAAAAAAATGTTTTCATTTTATTTTACCATAAATAAAATAACTAGTTCATCTTGTATACTGAAAAATACATAAACAGGGTGTAACATTATTTTCTGACCCCCTTAGTGTCATTTTATAAATGACTAACACAGTTGTTAATATTTTCTATTCATTTTTTCTCAAAATCTTTAGAACAATGTTAATGATCAGTAGTGAGTTGTTCCGTCATTTTTACCGGAACATTCCAAAATTCTGGCGCGTAAACTTTCAATAAGGCTAATATTATTCTTTTTAAACTCTTCAGCTCAATCTTTTTAAGCTCTTGCAATAAATTATTAGCGGTTTTGGGGTCTGGGATTTTTAAAAAAAGGCTGTTCTGAAGCCTTGTTCATACATGCTCAACGCAATTAAGGTCTGGTGAATTCCTTGACCAATCCAGACATTGTTGAACCACAGTTTTCAGACTTAAAACATGAGGATAATAAATGGCGGTAAAATATACGCGGTATTAATATTATCGCGGGAAAATTTAATTTCTGGTTCTTAAAATAACCTTCTTCCAGATAACAACAAACAATTAAAATGTTTAAAAATATTTTGAACAGAGCAACTTAAATATGGCAATGAAAATTTGAGAGGGGTCAGAAATTAATTGTTTTAATTTTTTTTTAAGATTTCTATTAATACTATTAATAAGATATTATAATAATTTATAACGATATTTATTACCATAATAATTTAAAAAAACTTTTAAACATTTTTAGTGACACAATAATAAATGAAACTGCTCAATAAAAAAATTAAACGTATAACTTATTTGAATAAATTTTATACAAGATCAGGATAATTTGCCAATTTACTTTTTGAACTCGATCGTTCATACATGTCGAAACTCGATCTCTCCGTTTCGATGTTTAAACTATGAATAAAATCTTCATTTTCATTTTCGGCATTCTCAATTTTATCATTGTCATTAGCATCATCATCATTATCATTATGATCATCATCATCATTATCATCACCATCATCATCGATATCATTATCATCATCGTCATCATTATTACTATCATTGCCATCATCATGATCATCATTATCATTATCGCCATTATCTTTTTCATTATTTTCATCATCATCAACATCTTGTTCATCATCAACATCTTGGTCGTCGTCAATATCGCGATCATCATCAATATCGCGATCGTCGTCAATGTCGCGTTCATCGTCAATATCCCGATCGTTTTCGTCATCGTTGTCACGATCAAATTTAATTTTATCATTGTGGTCAACGTCATAAATATCGTGGTCATCATCATTATCAATGTAGTCAAGGTCATTGTCTTCATTATTCCAGCTTTTTTCTTCCTCTTCATTATCTTCACTTTCATTCAAAGTTTCAATTTTATACATATTTTCATCGTCTGCCTCATTGATTTTTAGGTAATCATTACTAGCATCTTTCTTTTTGCCTTCTCTTTCGTTTAGGCTCATAGAAGGTATACCATTTTTGAAAGATACACTAGCTAGTTCCAAACCATTGATTCGAATTATAATTACAAGTTTTTCTCGCTGGAAAAAAAAACATGTAAAATGTAGTAAATAATTCTTATTTCATTTTATTAAATCCTTTTAAATTAATTTTATTTATTCAAATCCAAAATTTACTCAAAATAATCTGAGTAAAAATTGGTCATTCCACACACCATATCATTTCACACACACCACACACACCACACCACACACCATATCATTCCACACACTGATCGAAATTATCAAATAAAAACTAAACGGAAATGGCTATGGAAAAATAAAAATAGATTCAAATACAGAACTATCTCTTTTATTCGAATTGATAAATTGTATGCCGATTCAACTCCAATTTTTTCTTTTTTTATACAACTTTAACGGGGAGTCAAAATATTTTATGTTTTTTATCGTTGCGAACAAAATAGCGCTTGAACCGCAACTGATATAAAAATAATTTTAGCACTATCTTGTTAGAAATTTAATTTTAATTCTTGTAGTATAATTTTTAAGCAGCTAGAACAAAAAGTTAAATAAAAAATCAAAAATGTAAAAAAAAAAACTCTTTTTTCTGATAAAACCGCACATTCGATTAATTACTTAGTTTAGTTTGTCGCAAGTGACTAAGCGCCTACTTTTATCTAATTAACTTTGTGTTAATTCCGGTTTAATTAAAAATGAACTATTATGTTATTTGTTATATAATCATGTCTTACTCATTAAAAACCAATTATTATATTATTTCTCAATATAATCATCACTCACTCAATTCAATTTAACTCACTCACTTTAACATGTCAACTAAAAAAACAAAAGTATACAAGGAAGACGATATATTAGCTGCATTAACTGATATGAAAGAAAATAAAACATCACTGAGAAAAGCTGCATTTAAACATGTCGTTCCAGTCTCAACGCTCAAAGATCGCAAACATTACAACATCAAAGGCTTCCATGGTTCAGATAGAACAACGGTTCTTTCAAATGAAACAGAATGATTGATGTTGCATACGTTCCAATCATTTGGTGACTGGGGTTATGGTTTAACTCGAAATGAAATCCTAGAATTTGTATGTGGCTACCTTAAACGCAAAGATCAATTGCACTTATTTAAAAATGGCAAGCCTGGTAATGACTGGTTTTATGCCTTTTGAAGAGATGAAGTATTTATACCCGAAAGAAGTATTTATACCCGAAACTGAGCGAATTGGTGGTATTCATATTTTAGTATTAGATGGGCATACAACTCACATAACTTTGGAAGCGGTATTGCTGTGCAAAAAACACAATACAATATTGATTTGTTTACCAGAGCATTCTTCGCAAATTCTATAACCATTGGATAGAGGTTTCTATTGTCATGTCAAACAAGCATGGAAAGAAATTCTTACAAAGTATTACAAAGACTCAAAATGTAAGAATTTAGATAAACAAAATTTTCCACCGTTGCTTAAACTGCTGTACGAGAGTGGTAAATGTTTTACACGCTTGCATGCAATCGCTGGTTTTTTATTTCCACTTGATAAAAACAACATAAATCATAAGGTATTGGCAATCACACAAACGTTTAATCCACCTTCATCAACTTGAGCAGCCTCCGCAGCACCTACACCATCTTGCTTAGATACAGCTTCATCATCTTCAACAGCTGCCGCAGCCCCGATTACCATCTTACTCAACTACACCAGCTTCAAGTTTTGATAGGTATCAAGCATGTGTTGAGCGTTGCAAAAACAGTATCGAGATAGAGTTGAAGCATTTTTTCAAAGCCAAAAGTCAAGCGCATGTTAAGAAATCGAAGCAGTGCAACATGTCAAAACTTGGCGGAAAATGTATTAGCGAAGAAAATGTGATCGAGTTCCTCAAACAAAAAAATGAAGAAAAAGCAACAAAGGAAGCCGTGAAAGTTACTAAACTTAACGCAAAGCGTAGACTCTCTATGCCAAGTACTCAAATGCCTGAGCATAACAATGCAGAGGAACCTCAGCAAAACAATAATGAAGAACAAGTATCAGCAACCAAACGATTAAAAGTTGCAAAATGTAAAAAGTGTAGAGTACAGTTACACACAAAAATGTTGTAATAAGAGAATTCGACGTGTCGGAAATGGTTGTGCAAAGAAACATGTTTACCAAAGAAACATGTAGTTTTAATAAATTTGTTTCAAAAGTTGTAAAAACTTTAATATAGTTTTTTAAATATAGGTTGTGATGAAAAAAACTAACCATTTTGTTAACGATACTAACTGCAATTAGATTTGCAAAAAACTTCTTTCTAAAGAGCCTTAATGCAAATGAAATAAAATTAAAAGTTGTCAGATTTACAATAGAACTACTTTGATAAAAGAAATAAATTATTGTAAGGTTTAAAACTTAAAGTGCAATCATGGTGCAGTTAATGCCGTGTTAACTATTTATGAAATTTGTCAACTAAACCTAATGAGCATTAGAACACAAGATGAAAAAAAAAATTATCTGTTAAATGAAAATATCATCGGCAATCTGCTAAAGATTGCCGATGATATTTTTATTTAACAGATAATTTTTATCTGTTGAATAAAAAGTTGGAGGACAAGTTTAAATAATAACAAAAATAAGGTTGGTGTATTCTTTATTATCTACTGTATTTATACATAATTTCTTGATTGACGTTGAAATTAAAATACTGCAGAATGATGATGAAAAAACATAACAATGCTTTTAATGTAACCACAACTGATGGCGACATGGCACATGACAACTGATGGTGACATGGCATATGACAAATGATGGTGACATGGCACTTGGCAACTGATGGTGACACGACACTTTAAAACATTTAAAATGTTAAACAATGCAATTGTATAAAGTATTGAAAAAAACTAATATGGTTTAAATAATTGTTTGGTTCAACTTGTTTTTTAACACACCTTGTTCGTCAAGGCTTTTACTTTGGAGTTAATTAGTTAAGAGAGGCCATGTTGTTGAGTTGAGAGTTAATTAGTCGAGAGAGAGTTAATTAGTCGAGAGAGGCCATTTTGAGTTGAGGCCATCGAAAATTAAAAAAAAAAAAAAAGTAGCATCCTCATCTTTAGTGGTGCCACTGGGTTTGGGAAAGTAAATATGTTAAAAAATAATAATTTATATAACAATTTAATTAACAGACAATTTTAAGAGACAATCAATTTGAGACAAAGGTGTTAACTAGTAGTTCTAAATAAGTAAAGAGAGTTGCAAACAAAAATCTGGAGCTTTGAAAAGGTGAACAGAATTATATGAATAACTTATTTTCTCCTAAGCTCAAAAAAGACTTTGAAAGATACAACAACCTTTTTATAAAAACTTTTAACGCAAAAAAGAAGCTAAAAATCATGCAGACTTGAAAAATAAAAAAAAAGTGTTTAATTTTCGTAATCTATATAATAATACTATTACAAAAAAGTCACTAAACTTATGTAAATAGTTATATAAATACTCTACACAACAAAAATTACTTACTGGTATCTGATAGCGCCATTTGTCTGCATATTTTTTAGCTAAAAGAAGTTTATTTTGCAGATCCAGTTCTTTTTCCTTTTTCTGCTTTTCTAACATCATGTTATGTTGTTCAAAAGCACTGTATGCATCTTGATTGTCGTCTACTTTTTCAAAAGTTTTCCTTTGCTTTATCATAAATCAAAATTAGATAAATTAGTATAAGAAAATTAAACAAGCACTAAACAAGTAAATCAATAAGTTATAAAGTGTAGTTATGTTTTTTAACAGTTACTAATAATTAATTATGCAGAGTTTTCTAATATATATATATATATATATATATATATATATATATATATATATATATATATATATATATATATACATATATATATATATATATATATATATATATATATATATATATATATATATATATATATATATATATATATATATATATATATATATATATATATATATATATATGTATATAGGGTGGGGATTTACAAACGTTTCCTGTTTTAGGGAACTGTTGTTGACAAACCTCTATTTCAATAAAAAAAGTGATCATTGGTCTTTATTAAAGAAAATTGACAATAACTGTAATTGTTAATCATTTAAAACATCACAAATGTGGTTGGAAATGTGATGAGATTCTACCAAAAAGACCAGTGAGAAAAAAAGTGGGTTTTAGTAAAACTGACTAACAAAATTACGCTCGAGGGCGTAAAGATATGCATAATGATAAAAAAATGGCATGGTTATCCACCAATAATTTTTACTGATTTTAAAATTACTCCTGCTTGAGTACCTTCTTAAAAGATAAATTGATTGAGTTTATGGAGTAAGTTTGCAAGATCCCACATAATGCAAGAGCTGCTCTTTGAAACCAAAATGCATCTGGGGTTATAGTTTTTGATGCATTCTAAAAGGAAGGAAAATTCCCACTAAAATTAACTGATGTGGAGTTGAAATCAACCAGGAGCTCTATTTAAATGACATTTTGAAGTAACATGTGAAACCTCAAACTGATAGAATGTTTGGTGATCACCAATATATTTTCCAGCAAGATTGAATCCCCGCACATAAAGCGAAAACCATTCAAGTGGGTAAAAGATTACTACATCTGTCCAACAACATCTGTAGAGTAGTCCAAGATCATCTCTACATTTATGTCCAAGATCATCTGTATTTTTTTTTACTCAAACAGCATCTGTCCAAGATCATCTGTATTTTTTTTTACTCACACAGCATCTGTCCAATATCATCTGGAATTTCAATGACCCCTAACAACATCTTTAGGAAGATGTAACTACATCTGGTAATTTTTCTCCAAGTCTAATAACATCTCTAAAAATTTCCTCCAGATGTAATTACATTTGAAAAAAATCTTATATGTAACTACATCTAGTTATAATAATACATTTATATTTAATATTTTTTTCAGATGTTACTACATCTATCTACTACAATATTTAATAATACTTTCCAGATGTAAATGCATCTGGAAAAAACCAGATATGAAATTACATATGGTTAAAATAATGCATTATTATTTAATAATTTCATAAAATCCTGTAGTTATATTTTATATAATTGAAAAGATGTAACTACATCTGCAGTCATCATATACTTTTTACACAGATGCTATTAGACATCAATGAATTTTCAGATGTTGTTGGACAGATGTTATTAGACAAAGCAAAAACTTATGTTGTTACCCTGACCCTTCAAGTTTGATGTGAGAAAAACTTCTGTTGTTTCATTTTAGTGTCAGAATGGTCCACCAGCAGTCCAGATTAGAATCCATTAGATTTTTTTGCATGGGGTTACAAGTTGGAAAATTTTAAAAATGTGAAATCTCATAATTTAACTGATATTAATGTTTTACCAGTCAAAACTTGTGGTAAAATTCATGATGATCTCACTTTAAATGTATAAAATAAATATTACTCTTTTAGGTAAGAGAAATATTTATTGTATACATTTAAAGTATATTAAGAAAAAAAAAAAAATTAAGCCAGCTGTCACCTTTCAAGAGAGTTCATATGTGTATCCTAGAAAAAGGAGAAATATTTGAAATCAATTGACTTTTTGTATTATTTATTAACGTAACTTTCAAAAAAATGTAACTTTTTAAAAATCAAAACAGTGCTCTAGTTTTGAAAACATAAAAACTATGAGACATTTGTAAATCCCAACTCTTATATATATATATATATATATATATATATATATATATATATATATATATATATATATATATATATATATATATATATATATATATATATATATATATATAATATATATATATATATATATATATATATATATACTTTATATACAGCGCAGTGATTTACAAATGTCTCATAGTTTTTACGTTTTCAGAGAGAGCATTGTAACCACAAATAATGTAGCCTCCTTAACTGCAGTGACTTTCTTGGCCTTGGGGTGAATTAACATTTATACATATAAAAGCAATTGACTTAAAAAAACTTACTTGTTTTGAATACAGTGATATAATGACAACCTAAATTTATAAAAAATTGTTAAATATACATTAAGATATAAAAAAAAATAAAAACAGCTAAACATAAGTATAAAATAAATATAGTATTTATATATATATATATATATATATATATATATATATATATATATGATAAAATATTTTAGGTGTACAATGATTTTAATATCAATCAAACAATATTAAAATTATTCACATGATCATTTATTCACATATTATAGTTTGTTAAATAAACAAGAAAAACAACTTACCAAACTGCATAAAAAAATGCAAAACAAAAACTGTGGAAGAAAGTTATTGTTATTAATAAAACAAAACATGCCAGTCACCCAGGCTAATATTGAAAGAACTAACACAATTATGTCTCGAATAGCTCGTTTTCTAAAATGAAACAGCAACAACAAATAAATTTATTTGTTACATATAATTCTTGGTTTAAACACTTAACTGTTGATGATAAAAACTTTTAGGTAAGAGTAATATTTATTGTATACATTTAAAGTGTATTAAGAAAAAAAAAATTAAATCCATAATAATGAACATATTAAAAAATTAAATAAATAATAATGAACAAATTAAAAAACTAAATATATAATAATAAATAAATTAAAACGTTATAATAAATGCTTAAAATACTTTAACTTAATTGTCTGTTAAAAAAACTTTAAAAAACAAACTTTATAGAAAAAAAAATTATTATAAAATTCTATTATAGACAAAAAAATTATTATCATTATTTATTTATTCTTTATTATTAAGGACTGTTCAGTTTATACTTTTAGACTGATTAATTTACTATAGAGTATTGCATTGAATGAAGTTTGCATTGACTCAAAGTATTGGAAAAATAGGGTGAAGCGATTTTCATAGCAAAAAAAAATTGAAAATAAATTTATTTATGCAGATATATATACACACAAACACAAACATATATATTTATATATAAAATTATAATATACACAGTGCTTTCAAATAGAAATAGGCGTAGTAAGAAATTGAGTTCATTTTCTTTAAAACATCATGAAAACCCATTCATTTCTTTAAAACATCATGAAAACCCATGCCTTCAAGACTTTTTTTTTGAGCAGCAGAAAAATGGGGTCATTCATAAAGTACCTATGCCAAAAATTAAGAATATTGATCCCCTTCCCCTTCCCACTGCAAAGTGGGCCAGAATTGTCAAAAAATGGCAAAACTGTTTATGGATTAAATATAGACATATGATACATATTTATAGGGGTTTTTTGGGCCACGAATTTCATTTTTGGGCTCCATTTTAAGTTTAGAGTGGTCATGATAGTATTTTAGGTGTTGCCAAGGGTGGTCATGAGATGTCTCAATGGTTTTTAAATTAGATGGAACATGTTGCATGTATAAATATAAATAATTTGCGGTTAGGAAATTTGAAATTGGACACATTTAGTCTTCAGGAGCGGTCATGACCGCTCAAGTGATTATTTTGGGATGTCTCAATGATTTTTTAATTAGATGGAACAGTTGTTTGTCTAATTATAGGCAATTGAGGTTGGGGAATCTAAATCTGGCCATACTTATGTATGTAATTTCTTAGATATTGTGAATATAAACATAACATTTAATAAAACTGAACTTTATTGACATAAATTTTTTTATATATAAGAATCTAGGTGATGGCATATATCATGCGTTAGTACATCTAGAGCCCCTTGGCCTCCTCAGGTTGATTGAAGTCTTTAACTTTTCCTTGACTCCTCTTTATATTGGACACCTTAGTATCGTAGCTGCAAAGCATTTTCATCATAAGATCATAGTATGTTTGAGACCTGGAGAATTTCATTGTGTAGTGCTTTCTGTTGTTTTAGTGCAAAACAATAATATTAGGGTGTATGAAATGACTTTTTTTCACAAATAATTTTCTGTTTTTCCATTTTTTTGGGTGTTATTTAAATGAACAAAACATATTTGACCCATTTAAAGCACAATTTTCTCGATGAAAACAAAATTTTAGAAAAGTTATTTGGACAACATTAAAACTAAAAGTACTAGATGATGAAGTTTTCTCACTTCTAACACAAGAAATTAAAAACCCTTTTTTCTTGTAAACAAACTAATTCCTCTTTACTAAACTAAAACTCTTCCTTTTATATAAATAAATACTTTTTGCATGCACAAATGCAAATAATGAATATTCTCTTCCATAAATCATCATTTTACACATTTTCACATAAATTTAACACAATACAGCAATCCACAAAAATGTACATTAAAAAACCGCTTAAACATTTTTTTTTAATTTCACTAAGGTTCCCCAAGAAGTCCTTATGGTCTTATCACAAAGCACCGCGGATGAGCATTTAATCAGGAGTTCGTGCCTCCTTCCAAACCAATGTTGCAAAACTTGCCCAGAGGTGGGGTTCGAACCATGGATCCTTTGTTTCTGAGGAGAGTGCCCTACCACTGTGTCACAGCTGTTCACAAACATAACAAAAATAAATACTAATAAAAAAAACTATTAAACTAAAATCACATAACTGTCATAGAATGTTCCAAAACTCTCCACAAAACATTAAAAGTTTAAAAAAGATTTCAACAAAATTTAAATAATTAAAAATCTAAAACTGTTTTTTATGCATCTTCCTCAGTTTTTTAACACAAAATCTATGATTGGATATCATTTATAATAAAAAGCCTAGCACATACCGCATCCAACTGAACTCAGAAAATTTGGTTGTAAATTTTTATCTATATATGAGTGTAATTTAAAGTTGATCACATGTTCAGCCTAGTGTTCATAATGTGCATGTGCAGCCTAGTGTGACCAAATTTGTTTTTGCTTGTGTAAAGATGAGTGTATAAAAAAAGGTTGCACATATTATGAAGTCTTTATTGAAAAACACTTTGAAAAAATGAAAGCATAAAAAATAAACTTTCATATTTCTTCTTATTATTTCAATATATGATGTCTATGGGCTAATACTTGCCGTTAAGAAATTAAAATGTTATAAAATTGTCTTACTGGCTCCATATTTCTTTTTTATATGATTTTAGAAAGACAAAATATTGTCATTTTTGTGGTAAAATTAATATACTGAGCTCAAAAATGATCCCAGTGGACATCAGACGTCTGAAGACATCTAACAGACATCCAATGGATCTCTGGATGTAAAAAACTTATTTTGTAAACCATGAAAAACTTATTTTGTAAAATACAGTTAGAAACAATTTACTATAGATGTTGACGGTCAGAGATCAACTCACAAGATTAAGGTAAAGTAAGGAGAGAATTGGGTGGTCTTTGGAGAAGTGGAAACAAGAAATTTTTAGTGATGAAAGTAACTTTGAAGTAATAAATATAAAAAACAAAGTTCTTGCTAAAAGATTAAAATCAGAAAAGTATAGTAATCGTTTTGTTGTACTGAGGCTGCAAAGTGGTGGCTGGAGTGTTAGTATTTGGGGTAGTTTTAATTTTAATAGAGTAGGAATGTGTAACATTTATACAGGTCGAATCAACAAACATACATATAAAGAGATCCTAGAGAACTGGGTTCCATCAGGGAACATGCTAATTGATCAAAATGAATGTGGTTTTATTTTAACAAGATTATGTGCCTGCCCACACAGCTTGTGAAGTAAAAGGATTAAAGAAAATGAAGTAGATTTATTTCCCTGGTCAGTTCGATCATCAGATATGAATCCAATTGAATCTATTTGGGCTCGGGTGAACAAAGAGTTTATCAAGGTGCAAATACAATCCATAAACAGCCTAAATCAAGAATTAGATATGGTATGGAGAAGAATTTCAAACGAAATCTGCAACAATCTTGTACAATCGATGCAAAAAAAGATATATTGCTTGCAAAAAAGCTCATGAGAGATATTTTAAATACTAGCTTAGATGTTATTTTTGTTGTTTTAATTTTTTATATAGTGCAGTTTTTTTATTGATAATTTTTGTTATTATATTTAATTTTTTATATAAAATTTTGATATAGTATGCTACCCAATATATATATATATATAAATATATATATATATATATATATATATATATATATATATATATATATATATACATATATATATATATATACACATATACATATATATATACACATATATATATATATATATATATATATATATATATATATATATATATATATATATATACATATATATATATACACATATACATATATATATATACACATATATATATATATATATATATATATATATATATATATATATATATATATATATATATATATATATATATATATATATATATATATATATATATATATATATATATAGAAATATCCAAGACTTGTTTAAAAAAGATTTTTTTTACAAATAAATTTTTTACAAAAAAATTTGTTCAATATCTTTAAGCAAAAATATTTTACTGTGTCTATTTTTTTTACTAACATATATATATATATATATATATATATATATGCGGTAGTGGTGTAGTGGTAGAGCGCTCACTTCATAAACGAGTGGTTCCGAGTTCGATCCCCACCACGCCCCTGGTAGTACCGCGCTCAACTCGTTTCTCCGCGCAGCGGCCTTGTTCATCAAGGTTCGTGTTTCAGTTATAGAGTTGAGAGAGGGTTATAGCCACAAATAAGTAGTCTCCTCGTCTGTAGTGGCCTTCTCGGCCTTGAGGAGGTGAATTAAAAATATATATATATATATATATATATATATATATATATATATATATATATATATATATATATATATATATACATATATATATATATATATATATATATATATATATATATATATATATATATATATATATATATATATATATATATATATATGTGACCCTCTAAAGCCTTGAAGAGGTGAATTTAGTTTATTATTTATACAAACTTAATTATATTTTAAAAATAAAAAATGTTTTATTACACAAGTTTAGGGTAATTGTATATCTCCATACGAAATGGTGTCCTCTTTAAACCTTTGTAATACAAGAAACATGTAAGCTAAAGGAAAATAAAAAAACTTGTAAGCAAAAAAAACAAAGTGTGCTTAAAAGAATTTTTGTCAAACTTTTGAAATAATAAATTAAATAATTTGGATAAAAAACCAACCAAAATGATAAAGTATGTAGGAGTGGCATAGCCAATTACACTGCCACCTTTAATTGACATCCAACAACTAAAAAAGTTGAAAATTTTAATTAAAAAAAAAAAATTTATTACAAAAGTTGTTTTTAATTATTTATCTAAATTGTATATAAAAACTTTCAGCATTTTTGTAAATATCAAACTTATTAATATCACTTATTTGATCACACTTATTAATTTTTTTTACATACTAAAATGTATAAATAAATCCTTACCCATGTCTACAACAAAATTCATTTTAGCACTATAATTATTATAATTATAGTCTCTAATATCAAATACCTCAACCGAAAAACTGAAACTGAAAAAATTACAAACTTATAGAAATTTACTTGTAATTCTAATCCAAAAATTTTTTCAAAATCTTTTCTAATAATGCCATTAAATTAAGCGCTGCATAGAAAGGTATTATGAATCATTTAAGTATAGATTTAACAGATACAGAACCTTCTAGTATATCTTTAATTTCATAATAAATGACTTCATTAGAGTACTCAAAAATTTTTGCTTATTTTTTATTTTACCTCAATCATTTCTAAAAGCCCTTACCAGACAAACTCACTATTCCCAATCCCTATCAGACACACTCACTATTTCCAATCCCTATCAGACACACTCACTATTCCCAATCCCTATCAGACACACTCACTATTCCCAATCCCTATCAGACACACTCACTATTCCCAATCCCTATCAGACACACTCACTATTACCACTCTGTTTAAGATCGTTGTATTTATTCTTTTCTTTTAAAGTCACACCACACAAGCATCTAATATGCATCTTTTTTCTTTTAAGATGCTGGACACCATCAACTTTTATTGCCCATGTTTCACAACCAAACATCATAACAAGCTGGATTTCTATGTATAACTTTACTTTAATCTTTAATGAATCACTTCTTTCTTTTAAAAATGGAACTTATTCGCTAAACTTGGCCCAGACATACCTTACTCTTATGCTGATTAAGTTGCATCTACTAAGAAATTTTTTTCTAAGCTTTTTTGTTTATATATTAGTTTTTTTTTATTTATCTTTATTTATAAATCTATATTAAGTTCCTATAACTTTATTTAAATCCTTATAATTCCTAACCCTATAACTTCAAAACATGGCTTCAAAACATGGCTTCAAAACATGGCTTCAGGCTTACTTTAAAAAATAACTTTCACTAATCAAAAAACTGTTAGACACAATTAACACATAGTTGGATTACTGTAAAAAGTAATAAAGATATTGAAATAAATTGCTGATGATACCATGTTAAACTATTACCTTTTTTGCTAAAATAATGCAAAATATTAAAAACTTTAATCCAAAATATTGATAAATTTTTTTCATAATCTGAGCGCTGAGTTTCATAATTCAATAATGAAAAATTATAATCTATTTAATGTTATTGATATAATCATCATATAGATAAGAAATTTTTAAATAATTTAGTTAAATTGATTTTTATATTGTGTTATTGATATGCTTATTATTTGCAAATATATATATATATATATATATATATATATATATATATATATATATATATATATATATATATATATATATATATATATATATATATATATATATATATATATATATATATAGATATATATATATATATATATATAGATATATATATATATATATATATATATATACAAGTTTTTTAGTAAAAGTTTCATAACAAAAGCACCTCTGTGATTTTTCTCTTTCGTGAAATACTGCACCACCTCCCATTCCTGAAATAAAAGCAGGAACACCTAAAGAATAAAACAGAATAGTAAAACACTTATTTAAATTTTTTTTTTTTTAAATATAAAATTAGAACAAATAATGAACTATAATATTTAATAAAAAAACAAAAATAATTGATTAAACTTTTGAAATTCAACTTAACTGCAGAATTGTTGAAAAACTTTGATTGCACCATAAAAATTTTTAAAAATTTTGGTTTTCAATGTTAGATACTTAATATATTTACACTATTTTAATATTTAAAACAAAAAGAAATTGAAAAAAAAAGGAGGTGGGCCCTCAAATTAATAACAGGTAAAAAAGGAAGGATATCTTTAACATTATATTTTAAATTTCCCATTAAAGTTTTCCTCATTATAAATTGTTAAATGTGATTTTAAATTGTTTTTTTTGCAAAGTAAAGTTGTTTTTAATGTTATTAAATTTTTTTCCAGACCATCTGCAGCTTATTAGGAACCTTGCCCCGTTATTTAATTTTAAAGAAAGTTAGTTTGAATGTTAAATTTTTTTTTCCTTTAAAAAAAAGAGAAAAGGTTGTCTCTTTAATGTGTGTTGAATGAGTAGACTTAAGTAATTACCTAAGCACATTAATAACTTAAGTATCTCTATTGTGACGTATGCACAAAAAATTAATGTGCAAGTAATAAGATTTGGACCCTCATGTTGTAATTTAGAAGCGCAGCGAACTATTCACTTTGGACACTAAGACACATTAAACTGCCGATTTTAATTGGCAGTTTAGTGTGTCTAAATTATGTAAAGAGCAAGAATTTGAACCATGCCATTTCACTTCAGAATGCTGCGACCTAACCATTTCAGCCAAAAGGCATATTGTTCGATGAAAGTTTTGAAACTATTTAACAAACAAAAGACTTTAATAAATACTATAAACCAAAAATAAGGAAATGTTGCCGCAACTCAATTTTAAAGTAAAAGAAAAACTTTTAAAATTTTAAATTAAAAAGTCAAAATTTTAAAAACTGTAAAACTTGATATACATTTTAACATTACATAACTTGAAGTTTACATAAGTTAGATACTCGCATAAACTTTTGTTCACATTTTCTGATACAAAAAGTGTTGTGACTCATATTTGCCATTAACTCAGATGTAATGGCTGCCATGATTTTTGTGTCAAACACTCACGAATGAGTAATGGCAGCAGCATTAAATTCAGTATTAAAATATTAAAGGATATCAGAAACCAAATAATATCAGGAAAATAGTCAGAAATATTTCTGACTATTTTTGTTTAAATGACCACGCCAGGAATAATCCTCATAATATTGTAAGACATTATGAAAAAAATTCAAGTAACAAAAATAAATTCAAAAAAGATTTTTAAAATGAACAACATAACTTTACCATTAAAATGCATAAAATAAATACAAAACTTTTTTATAATTCTGTGTGTTAAACTTAATAAAAATATAAATATAACTTTTACATATACATTATATATAAATATAACTTTTACATATACATATATTTTTATTTATTTATTGAATATATTTTTATTATAACTATTAACTTACACCATCCAAGCATTATGTAAAAGGCATACAAATTTCTTTCTTTTCTGAAGAATTTATCAAAAGCACCAGTAAACTGTGCCACTTTTAGCAGGTGCCACATAAAAAAAGCCACTCCAAAATAATACAGTAAAAATCCAAATACTGCGCAAGATGTCTTAAACAAAAAATAAATGTAAATCGTTTGGTAACAAAATTAATGCATAAAGGATAAATATTGAAAATAAATATACTTTTTGTAATTCCATTTTCATTCCTGAAATTAAAATTCCACAAAAAACTCCTAATGCCAAAATCTGGTTCATATTTAGCCATTCAGGTATGTTCATATAACTAAAAACAACATGTAATTAATCATTTTGTATGTAAAATAAATATTAAAAACAAAAACTTATATTTCCTATAATTATTAAACTTATTTTATTGTTTTTATTTAACTTATTTTTTTTTACTTAGAGTAATTTAGTACAAAATCTTATGCAAGTAACTTATGAAAAAAACTTGAGCAAGTAACTAAAATTTAAAAAACTTGTACAAGTAATTTATACATTAAATTTTTTTTTTTTTTGATTACAAACTTAAATTCATAAGTTTTTTCCTTTTCAAAATACTTAAACTATGGTAACACAAAACTACCTTTGTGTTAATAGATTAGAAGATTTGGTTTACTTTCATGTAAGGGTTTTTAATTTAAAATGATTATTGTGTAGTTTTATTACTGAAACTGATTACATATAATAATTAACTAAAAGCTAAAAACTTGGTTTTCAAATATATAACAAGTTTTACAAATGTAATAAAGACTACCTTGTAACAAGTTTTACAAATGTAATAAAAACTACCTTGTAACAAGTTTTACAAATGTAATATAATATACCTTGTAGCAAGTTTTACAAATGTAATAAAAACTACCTTGTAGCAAGTTTTAAAAATGTAATAAAAACTACCTCGTAGCAAGTTTTACAAATGTAATAAACGCTACCTTGTAGCAAGTTTTACAAATGTAATAAAAACTACCTTGTAGCAAGTTTTGCAAATGTAATAAAAACTACCTTGTAGCAAGTTTTACAAATGTAATAAAAAGCCACACAATTGCAAATACCAGAGCAAAATACCAGCTTCTCGTCAAATCAAAAGCATCAGGGATAACTGGAGGCTAAAAAAGTATTTTGAAACTCTCTATAGAAAGTAACATTGTAAATTAACAAGAATAATTTTAAAGTAACAAGAGTTGAAGTTGATCTTTTATTAAAACTGAAAGTATTTAAATAATTAAATCAGAATCTTGACATAAACAAACCATTTCTAATTTATTTGAAAAATATTTTGGAAGAATCCTTATTTTTTATTAGTTTTAAAAGACATCTGCACTTGTCAGAAGTTGATGACAATCATTAATAATTCATTTACACAAAATATAAAATTTTTACTTGATAAATTTAAAAGCCCACACTAAATAAGCATCGCTACAAATACAAATAACAAAAAACTTTATTGCATTATCATTGATATTGACAATGTCAATGAGAAAATTAAGAACAACATAATTTAAATGGTAAAACCCCTCTTAACCTTAGATAATGATATTATCAAATATACCAGCTAACAAGGAAATCAGCAAAGTTCAATAATAGTTTGTAATACCTTTTTAGTACAAAGTTTTTAATACCTTTTTAATACAAATTTAATACAAAGTTCAATACTTGTATTTAATACCTCTCAGGAGAAATATTATTGGGCAATAGTAGTAGTATATATTGCAATATTTAAATTAAGTTTGGATTTGAGTTTCAAATTAAAAATTATAACTATTATTCTTTCGTTTTAAATACCCTCCTTTCTTTCTAAAATTTAATAGCAGAAAATAGTTTCAAACAATTGAACAACACAATGAACAGTATTGAAAATGGTAGCTAAATGAAATTCATTAAAACTAAACCAAACAACGTTAATGGAATTAATTCATTCCAACCTTTAAAGTAGGAAAAATAATCTTTAATATTGAGAAAAGGTCAACAAGGTACAATCAGCTACAACAAAGGTAATGGACTACCTCTTGATAAAATATTTCAAAAATAAAAAACTTGCAATTGTAAATAAAAAAGGGAGAAACAACCACAAACTTTCTTCTATCTGGTATCTTGAATCAAATTTGTAATGATAAGCTCAAAGTTTAGGAAAGCAATAAGTTCATATAAATGGCAATAAATAAAAGTTAAGAATAAGCAAAATTATATTATCATTGTTTGGGTAAAACTATGTTGGCAATTAATGCAAATAATCAAGTAAATGTAGAACAGTTATAAAGAAAATCATAACAGACTTTTTTTTTTTCTTTTGTTTATTTAAAGAAATAAACAAAAAAAACTCTTTTAAACAAATTTTCAAACCAAGATGGACTACAAAACACTTCATTCACCAAAAATAAAAGTTAAGGGGTGCACTAGAAATCCAATAGCCTAACTCATGCCACCAGGATGGCAATGCATTGAGACTTTTCGACATACTAAAAACTATTATACTTGTCACACCAGAACGCATAACACAAACAATTTTAAAGTTGAAAAACTTATATAAAATGCTCAAAATAACAAAATATACATGAAAATGTTAAATTAAAGACAAAATGGCTTTTAATCAAACACAAAATCTGATCAAATATGGCAATCGGTGCTATCAAAAAGGCATTTCTTAAAAAGAGGATCCAAATTCATCATAAAGTAACTATGAAATGGCAAAAAAAGTTGATAGATGGCAGTTGATCAAAAAGTACTAAAAACCAACTTAAAAGACAATATAGAATTTTTTTAAAAGAATTTTATCAAGAAAGTAATCACAAATAAATACAAAAATCAATTGATTTTTCAACACCCCAATCTTTCATATTTTTTTAAAATGCTACTTCAAAGTCTCAAAGCATTTTGCCAAATGATGTCATGTTTCAAAACCAAAAATGCAGCAAGATCATTTTATCACAATTCTGAAGACACATAGTTGGTTTGCTGGGTGACATCACAGAGATGTAATTGCAAATCGAGTCAAACCCAAAATATCACAGATACCTAAGATAGAGTATAATGTAAAACATAATGCAACACAGATTTTTAAAGAGAGATCTAAAAAAAAAGTCTTAACTTGATTAATGTTACCTTTTTAATCAATTCTAACTCTTTTCAAGCACAATTTGTAATACCAAAAATGCAGAAAATATTTTATATCTTCTGCATAATATGCAGAAGATATTTCCACTTGCTACAAAAACCTTTGATAAGTTTACATATATAGATAATAGTATTCAGTTTAAACTAAAAAAAAAACACAATAAGACAATAATTAACTTGTATAACTGTGGTAAATGACAAGTAATTGGGTTTCTGATTCAAAAAAAGTGACATTCCTATAGAAGCTAGAGTAGCAAAAATAAATATAAGCAAAGAAAACTTTCCAACAGTTAAAACATTAGTATATCTTGGGAAGCAGCCAAAGATATGTTGACATTTAATTGCACTCTACCATCAAAACCAATTACATATAAAAAGCTCCTTTTAAAGTAAATTTCAAAACTTGTTAATCACATTTCATAATCACTCTGTATGTCTCCTTTTGTTATTAGAGCAAAAATATGACTTTAAGAGTTTTACTTTGATTGCAACAAAGGTCTTTAATCTTTAACACGGATTTTTAATTCAGGATAATGTACTTATGCTATTAGACCAGATTACTATATTATTAATTTTTTTTATAGAAGATAAATCTTTTATTATGGTGATTTTTTATTATTTTGCATTTTCTTTGAATCCCTACACTTTGTTATCATTTGTATTTTGTTTGAAATCCTACACTTTGTTATCATTTTGTATTTTCTTTGAAATTATACACTTTGTTATTATTTTTTATTTTCTTTGAACCTCTCCACTTTGTTATTATTTGCATTTTCTTTGAATCCCTACACTTTGTTATCATTTGTATTTTGTTTGAAATCCTACACTTTGTTGTCATTTGTATTTTCTTTGAATCCCTACACTTTGTTATCATTTTGTATTTTCTTTGAAATTATACACTTTGTTATTATTTTGTATTTTCTTTGAACTCTTACACTTTGTTATCATTTTGTATTTTCTTTGAATCCCTACACTTTGTTATTATTTTGTATCTTTTATTAAATTTTCTCCATTGTATGACAATATTTTAAATTTCTTGTGGAGGCATGGAAGATTAAAAACCCCAGCAAAATGGAATGTATTTCATTTTCTGAATACATTGCTCACAAAACTGAAATTTATAATGATAAAAATTGCAAGGCATGTTGTATAGATAGCCTTGTATATAATGTATAAACAATGTCCTGGACCTGGCTAATTTTATTATTTAGCCAGGATAAGGGTTGTAAAAACTCCATAGCCTTGGTCACTTACTATCAGTTTATATACACCATAACATGCAAGTATACGCCTTATGACACTTAGTCATGCTACTAAAAATCTCTGAAATAAATAAAATTAAAAATATTTTTTTAAAGAGGGAACTTTATAAAGTCATCAACTTCACCCTTTGCTACTATTACTTATTAAAAACTAAATATGTAAAACATACTGGAACTGCAGCAGCAACAACAAATATTCCAGGTTTATCAAAGCTGCATATAGTTTTCTCTATATTTGTGCTAATAATGTGTGCATTTTTCCTTGTCCAAGATCCAAAAGGTGTATTTCTAAAAAAAATAATTGAAAAATAATGTTTAATAAAAGTTTTGCTTTTCACAACATTCCAAAAAAATTACAACCCACATAATATTTGATTCCCAAACAAGGCAATATTTTGGTGCACTGTACACAAGATCATTATATAGTGTTACATCCTAAATAAATAAGATAGTTTTATAATTTTAAAATAAAAATAATACTAAACATAATATAACTACTACTAATAAATAATATATTAAAATAGTATAATTGATATGCACAATGTTTAACTACAAAATAAAATATTACTTTGATGTATTGTATTGTAAAAAAAAAAAATATTACTTTGATGCATTATATTGTAAAAAAAAAAAAATATTACTTTGATGTATTGTAATGTAAAAAAAAAAAAGTGCATAGTATTGTTATTATACAGTTCTAAATGAAACTTTTGTGCATAAGTTATTATTTAACATCCTCTACAATAACTTTTAAATGGTAAAACCATAAATAATTATACTATAAATTTTTAAAATAACTAATTAGAATATTTATTATAAATACTAGAGATTCTAACTAAAACTAATTAACAATAGTTATAATTAACTTTAACTATAATAGTTATAATTAACTTTAACTTGATATCTAAAGTTTAATAGCATTTATGTGTATTATTTAAAATGTTTTTTTTTTTAAATATTTATGCTTTTTATATTTATGCTTTGAAATAAACTTTTTGTTATTTTACAGACATAATGCAAATAACAACAAAAAATTATTTTACAAACATAATGCAAATAACAAAAAAAAATAGTTTTACAAACATAATGCAAATAACAAAAAAAAAATAGTTTTACAAACATAATGCAAATAACAACAAAAAATAATTTTACAGACATAATGCAAATAACAACAAAAAATAATTTTACAGACATAATGCAAATAAAAACAAAAAATAATTTTACAGACATAATGCAAATAACAAAAAAAAATAATTTTACAAACATAATGCAAATAACAACAAAAAATAGTTTTACAAACATAATGCAAATAACAACAAAAAATAGTTTTACAAACATAATGCAAGTAACAAAAAAAAAAAGTTTTACAAACATAATGCAAATAACAACAAAAAATAATTTTACAGACATAATGCAAATAACAACAAAAAATAATTTTACAGACATAATGCAAATAACAAAAAAAAATAATTTTACAAACATAATGCAAATAACAAAAAAAATAGTTTTACAAACATAATGCAAATAATAAAAAAAAAATAGTTTTACAAACATAATGCAAATAACAACAAAAAATAATTTTACAGACATAATGCAAATAACAACAAAAAATAATTTTACAGACATAATGCAAATAACAACAAAAAATAGTTTTACAAACATAATGCAAATAACAACAAAAAATAATTTTACAGACATAATGCAAATAACAACAAAAAATAATTTTACAGACATAATGCAAATAACAACAAAAAATAATTTTACAAACATAATGCAAATAACAACAAAAAATAATTTTACAGACATAATGCAAATAACAACAAAAAATAATTTTACAGACATAATGCAAATAACAACAAAAAATAATTTTACAGACATAATGCAAATAACAACAAAAAATAATTTTACAGACATAATGCAAATAACAACAAAAAATAATTTTACAGACATAATGCAAATAACAACAAAAAATAATTTTACAGACATAATGCAAATAAAAACAAAAAATAATTTTACAAACATAATGCAAATAACAACAAAAAATAGTTTTACAAACATAATGCAAATAACAACAAAAAATAGTTTTACAAACATAATGCAAATAACAACAAAAAATAGTTTTACAAACAAAATGCAAATAACAATAAAAAATAAAAAAAATAAATGAAATGTAACATAATGAAGGGGTAAAACAAAAAATAGCAATAATTAGTAAGAAAAAATTCGCGCATCACTGCCATATGTCAAATGATAATTAAAAACAAATTAAAGACATCATTAAACTTACTATCACATGGTCAAACACAACTTCTACAGGACCAGCAAGATAATCAATAGGAAATATGCGTGTTGAGATGATTTTGCTAATGATATATGGTTTTACCTCAAAATAGCACGATGGATCTGAACTAAAGTTAAAATCATAGTTTAAATTTATATTGTTTTTATTTGTTAAGTAGATAAAAAAATTTTAAAAATTATCTTTTAATTATTTTCAGAAATTTCAGAAATTTTAGAAATTACAATGATTGACTAAAAAATAAGTAGAACAGATTTAAAATGTCTTTTTTAAAGAATAACAATAATAATAATTTTTGATATGGCATTTGGAGAATAATAGTCCTTTATGATACGGCATTTGGAGCAACAAAGTTGTTAAAATTCAAATCAAATAACTTTAACTCGTTACAAAAAAAAAAAAAAAAAAAAAAATTGCAAAAAATATCCAGAATTTTAAAGGATTTTTAAATATTTAAATATTTAAAAACAACATATATATGTCATTGTAAATTACACACAGTATAATGTCACAGTATATTAAACACAGTATCTGTCAATGCAGTTGAGGGCAATTTATTTAATTGAAACTTTGTTAATAAATAATGCATTTGATTTATTATATTCAATAACTTTTTTTTTTTTTTTTTTTTACGTAATGCAATCTTGCTAAATCTAGTCAAAATAGATATTTATTTTTGAGTGATTATGATTGCACAGTGATTGCACAAAAGGAAGTGTTTGCACTAAACACTTCCTTTTGTACAATCACTAAACTTTTGAGTACTGCATAAACATTCATTTTTTTATGGTCTGCTTGAAATGCACCATGTAAATCATGTAGGCCACTTGATCCGATTTCAAGAATGAATGTTTCAAACTTTTTACCAAAATTTATTATTGAGAATATCAAGAAGCTTCGAATTCACATTTATTCCATCCATAAAAATATGTAAAATTTTGGCTTCAAGATTTTCATCCAAAACACTTGTAAAAGCTCTGTACAAATCATTTGCAGATGCATGACTAAGAAACACTGATGAAAAGTATTTTGTAGTCACATGGTTGCAAATAACATCCCAATAATGAATGCAAATATCCATTTGACTTTTTTGAACAACTTTGATTAAAGAATCACCAAAACATACAACTATGTGTGTAGAGCTTAACACCACCTTTAAAACTATATCATGAAAATATGGGGCATTACATAACTACCTTAATTTTCCCAATAGTCATTTTTTTTAGCTATAAAACTGTCAGGAAACATAGACTGAAACAGTTGTCCTATTTTCAAACATGATCTGTAAGAGAAATGCTGCTGTGTAACATATAGTATTTATAATATTATATAAGTATTTCAGAACATGTTACATCATTTTGAGCCATAAATAAAAAGAAAGATGATTTTATTGTTCTAGAAAAATTTGTTTTTTAGCATTAGTTGAGAAGTTGAGTTGTTGAGATAATTGGCATTAGTTGAGAAGATTCCACCACACAGAAATCTAATAGCATTGATTCAGAAAATATAAAAGTTGATGTTGATGAAACAGTTGCTAGTGATAGTGGATTTTTCAGGGACTTATTATGGACTTATTAGTAAATAATCAAATACTGTTGGTTTGCTTTTTAAAGATATTTTTAAATGCTTTTTTTCATGAATTTTGACTGCCATTATATCCATATTATTTAGGTAAAATGTGTTTCTGTATTCACTACACATACCCTTTGTTTTAGCATCAGCTCTCTTAAGCCAACCCCACGATGGGTGACATTCAAGATTAATCTAGTCATTATCAAAGTAAGTTATTTTAAACATTTTTATTATTTCTATAATATTTACCCAATTTTAAATAGATTTATATATTTCAAAGATATGCAACAAACATTAGCTTATCAGTTTTTAATTTTCCATGCAATTTTATGAATGCATGGCAAAATAAATACAAATTTTTCATTTGAATAATAGTTGTGTGGGAGTTTGTAAAAAAACATTTTAAAATATTTTTTTCTCTGACATTTGAAAAAAACCCTGAAAATCCCTGACTTTTCCCTGACCAGAAACAATTTCCCTAACTTTTCTCTGATTTCCAGTTGGCTGGCAACCCTGAATTAGATATTGAAAAAATTACTGAGTAGTCATTAGAATTATGCATATCAGGGATCACAAAACCTTTTTTAAATATAAAAAAAAACTTCATGAGTTAAGTAAAACTTACTGTGAACGCCATCATGAAATCTGAATTTCAAAAAAATAAAAAATAAAAAACCAAGTTTGTAAATCCTGCGCTAAATCAAACAAAATACTCAGTATGCTAAAATGTACATTTTAAAATTAAGGTTATATTCTTTTAAAAGGGTTTTTACTTTGTATATTTGACCACAGTTATTTGTATGAAATCCATATTTAAAAAGTGACATTAAAGAACTCCAAAAAATTAAAAAAAGAGTTACAAAGATTCCCAACAAAATATAATATTTTGTGAAAAACGATGCAATCATTTAGGTTTAATTTCAATAATTTTTAGAAGAGTCAGAGGTGATCTCAAACAAAAGATTTAATTTGAGAACAGTTTTGATAAAATACATTGGCACACAGAACCACAATGTTTATCAGCAGGAGGAGGAGGTATTTTGTTACAGATATTTTCGTTAGCAAACTAATAAAAAACTGAGATCAAAGATATAGTTTCTTTAACAAAATAATTGCAAACAAATGGAATAGAAGGTTTAACATTGGAATTGTGATTTTATTAATTACCATTTATAACTTTCTCAACTTTAATGCCTAATATTGAAGAGGTTTAAAAAACACTTTTGTCTTTAGTGCGAACACTTCCTTTTATGCAATCACTGTGCAATCATAATCACTCAAAAATAAATATCTATTTTAACTAGATTTAGCAAGATTGCATTACATTAAAAAAAAAAGAAAGGTTATTGAATAGTATAAATCAAATGCATTATTTATTGAGAAAGTTTCAATTAAATAAATTGCCCTCAACTGCATTGACAGATACTGTGTGTAATATACTGTGACATTATACTGTGTGTAACTTACAATGACATATGTTATGTGCAGAGGTTATGGATAAGTGGTAAAACTATTTGATCAGTAACATTTCTTTTGCACCTGGAAATTTAGAGAAGAAAAAATTAACATTAATGTTGTGCAAATATTCATGTCATATATGAAAATTTCATGGATTTTTTGAGGTGTAAAAGAAATTATCTCACTCATAAATTTATAAATTATAGTTAAACTTATTTAAGTTTTGTAATTTTTTTTTTAATTTTTGTTCTCAAACTTATTGTTTTCTTATTGTAAATAATACATTTAAAATTTCCTATTTTGAATACAAATTTTAACAAAAAAATGAAAGTCTCTGTGTCTAATCCACTAAAACATTGTCTATTAAAAACAACAAAATATTTTAGTTATCCATTTTTATTCAAGATTAAAAATTATTCAAAAAGTTTGCAAAATCAGATTTTTATTGAATCAAAGGTTTCTTAAAAATCTAAAGATTTTCTTTTTTATAGAAAATTTGTCACCAGGAATAAAGTAACACTTATTGTATATACAAGTAAAAGGATATACTTGATTATTGGTGAAGCTGTTTCTATTATACTGTTCTGTTTTTGATGAGTGGAGGCAGTGAGATCTGTTGCAAGGACATGCCCCTGACAAGTGGCGTTAGTGCAGGTCTCGGGCTCTCCAAAACGTCATTGGTGATCGCAGTCCATTCCTGAGGAAGGAGATCACCATTTATCCACTACTTAATTCTAATTGGTTATTATGGCACCAACATTTTTTTACCTCTTACACCCATGAATTCGCGCTTTGTGAGCTTTTTATTATGAATTTGTTACATTAATGACATTTATATATTTTTATGTTACACAGGTGATTATCAGTTCTCAATTTTTTATCTAGAGTTTAGAACATATATAGTACCACATTTATTAGACATTTGTATGCGATTATTTTAGTTATGAACACCATTAATAAACCAGCAGATTTTTACTGACTTGTTTACTCATAAATCATTGTTTTATCATTTGCTAAAACGTAATTAGAGTGTGAGTTTTGGTTCCTCTCTTCTTGAGTTGCTAACATTTACTCCTCCTAATAAATAGTCTTTACATTAATTTATGTTTTTTTACCTAAATGACATCATTTTCAATCTGTTTTTATTTTCACATCTCCCAGGTCTACCTAAATGGAAGGCTTCGTTGGTCACTTCTTGCGATCATTGTGTCGCATAAGCAAAAAAATTTATTCTTTGGGGCTGGTGAACCCCGACTTTTTCCAATGTACACCACAACAACAAAACGAACATTATGCTATCCGGCTGGATGTGGTTACGGCAATCAATAACCTAATGACTACGCTGACACTCACGCACACGTTCAGTCAGAAGCTCCACAATGCACGTCAAATCAGCGCTCGCTGACTATGTGCTCAGATCTGAAATCTCACTTCATAGCACATCATTCCACACCAGCACGGGGCAGTAGCTATTTTGGCTAAGAGTGATGGCTTGTGGCCTAAGGTGGCTAATGTGTGCATTTGATCAATTGAAATCCAATCTGTAGGTCTCACACCTGGCTCTGATGTGCTAGCCTATAAATAACGAAATAACGAAATTTACATTCTAATTACGGTGCATGTGATAAATAATGAAGTATACAGGTAATAAATAAATAAGTATACATGAGGGTGCAAAAAAGTTTATATCAGTGTAATGCTACAAGAATGAGTTACAATTACTTTTGGAATAGACATGAGACATAGCAATCATTTTATACAAATTTGTTTTTCCATTCTTAAAAACATCTCTCACACTTTATCTGTTAATATGCTTAAGAATTTCATTTTATTGATGCAACCTTTGGAATCAGGAAAAATGAGGTCGGCAATAATTTGCCGACCTCAATCATTTTGAGGTCGGCATCAGGTCGACAAAAATTATTTGATACGAAGATCTGACCATAAAACATAGAAACAAGGTTGGCAAATTTTTGCCCTCCTCAAACACTTTCAGGTCAGCAGTTAAGTCGGCATTGCCGAATGCCGACCCTAATTCCGAAGGTTGTTGATGGGTATCAGAGTAATCAGCAAGTTCTG